TTATTTCTCGATTAACTAACGCAGGAATTACGTAAATATGTCTTTACTGCCAAGAGATAATTATTTCATCCCAAGTGGTTCAGGAAACTATAATACAGTAAGAATGGTAATTATAATGATAACAAAACTTTATAATAAGTTTTGGCAGCCTAATAACGAGCCAACACGCCATGACAGTCAAGCTTCTTGATGCGATGAATCAGCTTGCAAATTTATGTATTTATTTATATATATGCAGGACGGTACATTGGGTTTATGAGAGTACATAGCAATGATGTGTTTACATTCTTGTAGAGCCATTAGTACGAGCAGCGTTTCGGGCAGGTCCTTAATCTAACAGATAATATTAAGTAGGTAATTTCTAGCAAAATTGAATTTTTTCTTAACAGGTACATTGTAATAAAATTTGACAAAGAGTAGCATAATTTGAGGAGTATTTCAAGGTACAATACAGTAAACTCATGCTTCAAGAACTCATGGCCGTGATATATATTTGAAACGGCCGTTGTTTTGGGTTTAATTTGTGGGAGCGACGCGTTTGGTGGGAAAAAACCAATGTATTTGTATTTATGTTATTTACAACCTCGTTCAAGACGAGCGAGCAGAGAATTTCCGCATTCCAGTGTGCATGCTCAAGACTTTATATTTTTGTATTCCTTTCGTTTAAATACTATTTTTATACAAAAATAAAACTCATTTAGTAAACGTATTGATTGGGTTCATTCCTGTAGTGTTAGTTGAATCAATATATATCTCACCACAGCCCGTACTACTTGGAACTTTTTGTTCAGAGTAGCTGAATCTAAAACCACATAACATGGTAACCCTGCACCACTACGGGCTCACCATAGCCCGTGTTACTTAGAACTTTTTGTTCAGAGTAGCTGAATCTAAAACCACATAAGACGCTAACCTGCACCACTACGGGCTCACCATACCCCGTGTTACTTGGAACTTTTTGTTCTAGGAAGCAAATCTTAAACAACATAACCTGCACTTGAGACAAGTGATCCCATATCCTATGTCGCTGTTTCTTGGTTTGGTGTTGGCCTTAATTTGGCCTAACTTCCGGGTTGTTAAGGCCACCGCCAGTTTACTAACCACCCATCAAACACTCCCAACTTTGCATATAGGTGAAGACAACAAACAGTCTTGAATGTGTATACACCCAGCAGTCTGGTGTTGGGCTAGCCAAATCCAACTAGCAAATACTCCTAAACAAAGTTCAAGACTAAAGTATGCTCAAGTTTACATCTTGTGAGAAGTAGGGCACACCTCTGTGTGTGTATATGCGGTATACCTTTAAATAAACATTCCAGTCTTCCGCATTGGTATATGGCTATCACAAATGCTTACTAACCGGCCAGTAAAAACACTTGAGCCCTCAACATGTAAAGAGATGTCCACACAGTATGTATACACAGCCGTATAGTGCTCCTTACCATGTATAAAACCCACCTGAGTCAGCCGTTTAAGGAACAATGGTTGGTAGAGCGGTGAGGGCTTACCGGAGGGCCGCCACCGCTCGCGTCAACACAACGCTACACTAATCTTAATTATAAATTCGCGCGTCACTATGTATGTAGGCAGAATAATAGACACTAACGGGGTAGCTGCTTCACCTCACGTACTATTTAAATATGTAAGATAATAGTTATTTATATCCATGACTAGGATTTTATGCCTGCTTATTAATTATATTATAATAATATTTTTTCTATTGGAAATGAAAATGAATAGTAATTAAAGATCAAATTTGTATATAATAATATTATGATTATATCTCCAACTTCTTGAAACATTTGAACCTCAAAAATATATACAAGCTCTTTCTTAAATTTGCAAAAGAATGCTGATTAGAAAATCCCACTCTAGCAAAACAAACTAATTTGTTAACGATATAATATGAAAGGTCATCATGATATTAGATTTAAAGTAACTTTCAGCTCGTCAATAAATTTTTTTTTTGCCATTATACAATATTAGAGTATATTACAAATCTGAGTTTAGGAAAGGTAAACTCCGGGGGCCAGATTCACGAAAGCACTTACGCAAGCACTTACGAACCTGTACATCTTTTCTCAATCTTTGTCGGCTTTGTATCCAATTATTAAACAGTTAATGAACGCCGAAGCACCAGGAGGCTGTTTATAACAATAACAATTGATGAATGGGAAGTTTTCATACTTGTAAACTGTTTAATAAATGTAACCAAAGCCGTCAAAGATTTAGGAAAGATGTACACGTTCGTAAGTGCTTGCGTAAGTGCTTTCGTGAATCTGGCCCCGGGTGATTACCTTCCAGCGTAGTTGGAAAGGTCATTAGGACAAAGTGTCCCTTTTTTTTATTTAGACATAAGGTTATTGTATCATATAAACCTAATAGGTAAAGAAGAGTAAGCCTGTATGCATCGAACTGTATGAGTGAAAATAAGCACACAGTACATGCATACAGGTGTTGGTGAATGTATAAATCGCAGAGTTGGGACGGCAGGTTAATGTAGCTGGGGTTAAGGCCTATCATCCTCTGGAGGGTTATTAAGGTCGCTATAATTAGCTTACTGACTAACCAGCATGACTAGTCCTAGACACAGTGTAGGACTGAAGCAAGCTTTCAACTTATTATAAACCCAAGAGGCGACGTAGTACACGTTTCATTGTACATATGTCTTCATTGTGGCTGGTGGAAAGAGGGGGAGGAGGAGGGGGAGTTGGTATTGGGTTTAAGGCCTATCAACCTCTGATTGAAGGGTTATTAAGACAAGGGACCCTTGAGTCAAGGGATTCAAAACAACAAGAAAAGTTTACTGACCAAACAGCAATAGCACTTTAGTCCTAAACAAAGTTTATGACTGCAGCAGACTCACTATACATACAGAGAGACGCCTGTATGTATGTATATATATCCTCAGTGTGTATATCTCCACCCATGATGGGATGGTTGAGGGGCTGAGTGTTCCAGCAATAACAGCAGTTGAGGGTTGTCCAGATTGCAACACCCACGCCCCGTACAGTTAGGTGCAACGAACCGCGCCGCATTTCTCTTCAACAACGTGTCCGAAGTATAATATATTTTCTTGGTTCATGCTTAATAAATCAACGGGAAATATACAGGTTTGTTAGATTTATATATGTAAAAAAATGATAGTACAAACCACGAGGTCGGTAAATAATGTGTCGGGATACGCCCTTCATGACTTGCGTATATTTCTTAGGCTAAACAATATGTTTCATGCTAAATAAAATATTTAAAAATAAACAAAAATAAATTAATGTTGTTGAATTTCAGGTAGCCTATAATTATATTCCATTCGCATAAATATTGATTTTATAGAGACTGTGAAATACCGAAAATATTCACGCATTTCAATTTGTTAAAGTAAGTAATGAAGTTATTATGTTACCTGGCGATCAGAAACCCGATGGCAAAGTTCGGTGTTGGAATAGGTATGGTTTCGCCATATATCGTTTTCTAACTATCGAACCCGTATATATCGTTAGATTTGGGTGTGTTAGCTTAAGTTAGGCTGTTATGTTTAGTTGGGTTAGATGAGGCTAGGATGGCTTGGGTACCATTTGGTAAGTTTTAAAACTCGTTCCTCAACCGTCATGTGTACGATGTGATTTGAATCCGTGCCAATATTGCTCAGTCCTCTCCAGACCCAATATCGCTTAGCCCTCCCCAGACCCAATATCGCTCAGCTCTCCCCAGACCCAATATCCCTCAGCCCTTCCCAGACCCAATATGGCTCAGTCCTCCCCAGACCCAATATCGCTCAGTCCTCACCAGACCCAATATCGCTCAGTCCTCACCAGACCCAATATCGCTCAGTCCTCACCAGACCCAATATCGCTCAGTCCTCACCAGACCCAATATCGCTCAGTCCTCACCAGACCCAATATCGCTCAGTCCTCACCAGACCCAATATCGCTCAGCTCTCCCCAGACCCAGAGTCACTTCAAGATCATACACCACCAGAGACCACATTCACTCCAGACATCTCCCAGCTCTGGGCTACTCATGCCCGTGCCATCTTTTGTAGTGGCTTAATCTTCAACAACAACAAAAGCTCAGCCCTTATTTGCCTTTATTAAAATATTGGACTAGACGGTAGAACGACGGTCTCTCTTCATGCAGGTCGGCGTTCAATCCCCGATTGTCAAAGTGGTTAGGCACCATTCCTTTCCTCTGTCCCATCCCAAATCCTTATCCTAATATCCCTTCCTAGTGTTATATAGTCGTAATGGCTTAGCGCTTTCCCCTTACATTACTATACAAATTGGTTTTCAAGCCTGATCTATAACTTAAAATTTTCGTCCCTGATTCATTGCATTAAATTTCCATGTTTAATAAATTTAAACTTTCGCGTCTGATTCATACATAAAACTTTCCATACATACGTGTACACTCACGATGTATGTGTCACGAACGTGAATGTTGGGGGTCAAAGGTCACAAATAATGGTCTAAAGTTTAAGCGGTTTGTTATTCCTTACCATTTGTATTACACAGTAAAGCCAGCAGGTGCAGGTTAATGACCTCACGCACACAGCCAGCAACCACTGTAACTGTTAATACATGTTTAACAATTTGAAAGACCAGGATAATATGAGATAATTTAAATGTTAAGACTTAAACAGCAATGTGTATTAGTTCCTTAAGACTATAGCCTACCTTGTTTCAGGCTCTTATGTATTTATATCTTACATAATTGAGGGGTAACATTATACTTTATTTTACTTTACTATGTATATATATCCGGCACTAAAGTATAAATTTTTCCTGTACGTAAAAAAAGATAGCGCGAAAGTGTTAAACTGCATATCTATTTTATATACAATGACAATTTTACAACTTGTACCATGTAACGTCAATGAATATTTTATCTTCATATAGTAAACTAGCAAGTATACCCAGGACGTAAACCCAGCGGGTGGTTGGGGGGACAGTGTACCTTGAGTGGCCCCGAGGTATTTACCTCAACATTTTTCATCTTTGCAGAGTGCAAGAGTCATGTTGCGAGAGACAACCATGAGGCTGTGGGTCGTCCTGCTGGTCCCTGCTGCCGCCGCCCTGGTGAGTTGTGGGCCGCTGCCCCTCACGCCGGCAGCCTAGTCTCCTTAAACCTTTGGTACCTGTGTCTAGCCTCACAATGTGCAGCATCCGGTGTTGCTTGGGTGTCTGGTTGGGTGTTGGGCCTCTCAAGTTGACGAGAACACACACTAGAAGGTGAAGGGAAGACGACGTTTCGGTCCGTCCTGGACCATTCTCAAGTCGATTGTGACCATTCTCCCAATCGATTGTGACCAGGACCATTCTCCCAATCGACTTGAGAATGGTCCAGGACGGACCAAAACGTCGTCGTCCCTGGGAGTTAGACAGCTGCTACGGGTTGCATTCTGGTTGTTGTGTAATTTCCTGAGTGTAGTTACAGGATGAGAGCTATGCTCGTGGTGTCCCGTCTTCCCAGCACTCTTTGTCGTATAGAGCTTTGAAACTACTGACGGTTTTGGCCTCCACCATCTTCTCACTTAGTTTGTTCCAACCGTCTACCACTCTGCATAAGAAAACTTTCTAATATTTTTTCGGCACCTTTGTTTCCTTAGCTTGAATCTGTATCCTCTTTCTCGCGCGCGAGCGTGTGTGTATTCACCTAGTTGTGCTTGCGGGGGTTGAGCTGTGGCTCTTTGGTCCCGCCTCTCAGCAGTAAATCAACTGGTGTACAGGTTCCTGAGCCTATTGGGTTCTATCATATCTACACTTGAAACTGTGTTTAGAGTCAGCCTCCACCACATCACTTCCTAATGCATTCCATTTGTCTACTACTCTGACACTGAAAAAATTCTTTCTAATGTCTCTATGGTTCATTTGGGCACTCAATTTCCACCTGTGTCCCCTAGTGCATGTGCTCCTGGTGTTAAATAGTCTGTCTTTATCTACCCTATCAATTCCTCTGAGAATCTTGTATGTGGTGATCATGTCACACCCTAACTCTTCTGTCTCCCAGTGACGTGAGGTTTAATTCCCGTAGTCTCTCCTCGTAGCTCATATCTCTCAGTTCGGGTACTAGTCTGATGGCAAACCTTTGAACCTTTTCCAGCTTAGTCATATGCTCTGACTAGATATGGACTCCATGCTGGAGCCGCATACTCCAGGATTGGTCTGAAAAAGTTCTTTCTAACGTCCCTTTGGCTCATTTTCACAATTTCCACCTGTGCCCCCTTGTTCGCGTACCTCTCGTGTTAAACAGTTTATCTTTATCTACCCTGTCAATTCCTCTGAGAATTTTGTAGGTAGTGATCATGTCTCCCTTTGGTCTTCTGTCTTCCAGTGTCGTGAGGTTCATTTCACGCAGCCTTTCCTCGTAACTCATGCCTCTTAGTTCTGGGACTAGCCTAGTGTCATACATTTTTTCAAGCTTCGCCTTGTGCTTGACAAGGTACGGGCTCCATGCTGGGACCGCATACTCCAGGATTGGTCTTACATATGTGGTATACAAGATTCTGAATGATTCCTTACACAGGTTCCTGAAGGCAGTTCTGATGTTAGCCAGCCTCGCATATGCCGCAGATGTTATTCTCTTGAAGTGGGCTTCAGGAGACAGGTTTGGTGTGATATCAACTCCTAGATCTTTCTTTCTGTCCGTTTCGTGAAGGACTTCGTCTCCCATTCTGTATCCTGTGTCTGGCCTCCTGTTTCCACTGCCTAGTTTCATTACCTTACATTTAATCGAGTTGAACTTTAGCAGCCATTTGTTGGACCATTCACTCTGTCTGAGTCATCTTGTAGCCTCATACTGTCTTCTTCCGTCTTAATCCTCCTCATAATTTTTGAATCATCAGCAAATAATGAGAGGAATGATTCTATACCATCTGGAAGATCATTTACATATATAAAAAACAGTATGGGTCCAAGGACTGAACCCTTCGGGACTCCACTGGTGACGTCTCTCCAATCTGAGACCTCACCCCTCACACTGACTCGCTGTCTTCTGTTACTTAGGTACTCCCTTATCCAATGGAGTACCTTCCCTCTCACTCCAGCCTGCATCTCCAGCTTTCACACTAGTCTCTGGTGTGGTACTGTGTCAAAGGTTTTCTGGCAATCCAAAAATATGCAGTCTGCCCAGCCCTCTCTTTCTTGTTGCCTGATCGCAGAATTCAATTAATCATGTGAGGCATGACTTGCCATCCCTGAAACTATGTTGGTGTTGTGTCACAAAGTTCCTTCGTTCCAGATGTTCCACTAGCTTTTTTCGCACAATTTTCTCCAATAGCTTGCATGGTATGCAGGTTAGGGACACTGGCCTGTAGTACAGTGCCTCCTGTCTATCCCCCTTCTTGTATATCGGGACTACGTTCACCGTTTTCCAAATTTTTGGCAGTTCACCTGTTACCAGTGATTTGTTATACACCATAGAGAGTGGCAGCCACAGTACATCTGCTCCTTCCTTTAGTATCCACGGCGATATTCCATCCGGGTCTATAGCCTTTGTCACATCCAACTCTAGCAAAAGCTTCGTTACATCCCCACTGTTAATCTGAAATTCCTCTAGTGGTGCCTGGTTAACTATTCCTTCTCTTATCTTTGGAACTTCTCCTTGCTCTAGTGTGTGTGTGGGGGGGGGGAAGTTAGTAGTTAGTAACAGTTGATTGATTGACAGTTGAGAGACGGGGAAAAAAGGTGAGCTCAATCCCCGCAAGCACAACTAGGTGAATACACACACACACACTCAGCCTCTATAGGAATGAGTGACCACAGTGTATTGACATTTGATTATCTGGTGGATGTAGGGATAACCTATCCAAGGATGGGATCGGAAGGGAAAAGACTAAATTACCGAAGAGGAAAGTATGACGAGATGAGGAACTTCCTAAGGGGAATACCATGGGAACAGAACTCTGAGAAAAGACTGTATAGGATATGATGGATTATGTCACCCAGAAGTGCCAGGAAGCTGCAGACAAGTTTATCTCGGCTCAAAAGGAGAAAAACAACAAACAACAGAAGAATCCATGGTTCAACCAGGAATGTAAGGTAGCAAAGAGTTTGAGTACAAGAACATGGAGAAACTACAGGAATAACAGAACACCAGAGGGCCAGAAATGAGTACATCAGAGTGAGGAGAGAAGCAGAGAGACAGTATGAAAATGACATCGTGAGTAAAGCCAAGACCCAACCAAAGCTGCTCCACAGCCACATCAGGAGGAAAACAGCAGTGAAGGAACAAGTGATGAAACTGAGAAAAGGGGAGAACAGATCCACAGGGAATGACAAAGAGATGTGTGAAGAACTCAGCAAGAGATTCCAGGTCTTCACAATAGAACAAGGAGAAGCCCCTGAACTAAGAGAAGTGGTGGCAAACCAAGCAATCTTGGAGGAATTTGAGCTCACCAGTGATGAGGCCAAAAGGGATCTGTTGGAGCTGGATGCGAGAAAGGCTGTTGGGCCTGACAGAATCTCACCATGGATACCAAAAGAAGGTGCAGAGGCACTAAGTGTGCCACTCTCTATGGTGTATAACAGTTCACTGGAAACGGGAGACCTACAAGAAAGCTGGAAGACAGCTAATGTTGTCCCAATATACGAAAAGGGTGATAGGCAAGAGGCACTGAACTACAGGCCAGCTTCCCTAACTTGTATACCATGCAAGGTGATGGAGAAGATTGTGAGGAAAAGGCTCGTGGAGCATCTGGAGAGAAATAACTTTGTAACACACCACCAACATGGGTTCAGAGATGGTAAATCGTGCCTCACAGATTTAATAGAATTCTATGACCAGGCGACAAAAATTAGTCAAGAAAGAGAAGGGTGGACAGACTGCTTTTTCATGGACGACCAAAAAGCCTTTGACACAGTACCTCATAAAAAGCTGTTTCAAAAATTGGAGAAGCAGGCAGGAGTAAAAGGTAAGGTGTTTCAGTGGATAAGGGAGTATCTAAGCAACATGAAACAGCAAGTAACGGTGAGGGGGGAACGACCCCTTTAGAGTGGCGAGATGTCACCAGTGGAGTCCCACAGGACTCTGTACTCGGATCCATCCTGTTTCTAATATATGTAAATGATCTTCCAGAGAGTATAGACTCATTCCTCTCAATGTTTGCTGATGATGCAAAAATTATGAGAAGAATCAAGACAGATGAAGATAGACAGAGACTACAGGATGACCTGGATAAACTGGAGGAATGGTCAAGAAAATAGCTACTAAAGTTCAACTCAGTAAAGTGTAAAGTAATGAAATTAGGCGAAGCGAGCAGGAGGCTGAACACAAGGTACCATCTGGGAGGTGAAATCCTGCAAGAGTCAAATAGAGAGAAAGATCTGGGGGTTGATATCACACCGAACCTGTCCCCAGAGGCCCACATCAAAAGATATCATCAGTGGGATATGCTAGATTGTTCACCATAAGAACTGCCTTTAGAAACTTGTGTAAGGAATCGTTCAGTTCAGGACCCTGTAACCTGAAGAAACATATATGGAAACTGGAAAAGGTTCAGAAGTTTTCGACGAGGCTCGTCCCAGAGTTATGAGGGATGGGGTATGAGGAGCGCCTGAAGAAACTGTGCCTTACGACACTAGAAAGAAGATGAGAGAGGAGGGACATGATAGGAACGTATAAAATACTCAGGGGAATTGAGTATTTTATACTCAATCCCCGCAGAGTGGACATAGACAAAATGTTCACACGGAATAGTAACAGAACGAGGGGACATGGGTGGAAGATGGAAACTCAGATGAGTCACAGGGATGTTAGGAAGTTTTCTTTTAGCGTGAGAGTAGTGGAAAAAAATGGAATACAATTAAAGAACAGGTTGTGGAAGCAAATACTATTCATAATTTTAAAACTAGATATGATAGGGAAATAGGACCATAGTCATTGCTGTAAACAACCGATGCTCGAAAGGCGGGATACAAGAGACAATGCTCGATCCTGCAGACACAATTAGGTGAGTACACACACACACACACACACACACACACACACACACACACACACACACACACACACATACACACACAGCGGGGAAGTAAGGAAGTGTTTACTAGAGTTGGATGTGACAAAGGCTATAGGCCCA